AACAGAAGATTTTGCAAAACCAATTAAAAAAGGGATAGTCTGGGTAGAAATAGTTGTTTAGAGGCCCATTTCTACCCTTGGCTGTGATGTGATGCTGTACATCTTCAGCAAAAAATGTGAAATACTTACCTTGCAGCACATTATTGTTGCCAGGACCAAAATTTTGGGGAGACCTGGGATTGCACCCATTTCCAACAAAGCTCACCTTGCTTTGGAAGCATCATTCTGTCATTCTAATGTAATCCAAGGGACCCAAATGTTGGTCTTTTATGAGACAACACAGATTTGAACTCAATGGTTTGGAAACAATCCACATACCCAAACCATCTTTCTCTCTGATAGGTTTATTTCTTTATTTATTGCAATTATATCCCACTTTTCTCTCTAGATCATTATTGCCGTAAGCCAGCTGATCGCCGACGTGGCACTTAGTGGCGGTTCGAGATTTCAGGAGTCTCTGTCAATTATCAATAACTTTGCCAATAGTGACCGGCCGGTGAAGGTAGGTTTGGTTTAATCCAAGGATAAGGAACCTCTTTGAAGCCCAAGGGCCAAATTCTATTTAAGAGAAGTCTTGAGTAGTAAGGGAAGCCAATGCCAAATATGACTGCCATGGCTCCATACTATGGGATTATGGAATTTGTACTTTTGTGTGAGAGTTAGATGTCTCTGTCAGAGAATCCTGGTGCCACTAGAAACTACAAATCCCAGAATTCTTTAGCAGCGAGGCATGGCAGTTAAGGCAGTTTCGAACTGCATTAAATCTGCAGTGCAGATTCAGCCTAGGTGTGAGACCTTGTATGCAAAAATATATATGCCTTGTATGCAAAAATATCTAGGTTCAAGCCACAGAGTCTCCAATTAAATTAGGAGTGAGTAAAGATCATAGTGGTTTGAGTATTGGTCTACAACTCTGGAGACCAAGGTTCAATTCCCAGCTTAGCCATGAAACCCAGTGGATGACCTTGGGCAAGTCACATTCTCTCAGCCTCAGGGGAAGGCAATAGTGGCAAACCTCTGGACAAACCTTGCCAAGAAAACCCTGCGATAGGGTCACCTTAGGATCGCCATAAATCTGAAACAACTCGAAGGCACACAGTAATAACAATGTCATCCCACAGTCCATATGTGACCCGTGAGTCCTTCTTTGCAGCCTCCAGAGTTATCTAGAAGTTGTTGTGTTTTTTTAAATGAGAAAATTGCTAAAAATTCTTGCCGGTCTATTATTCTTTTCAACAGGTTCTCCCAACTGTAAGGAAAGTGGTCTTGCAACTTGGGAACGGATGATTACAAATATTCTTTCCATCCCTAGTTTTGGGCATGAATGCAGACTCAGCTGTTGCCTTGAGCTCTGTGTTTTAGCAAAGAGCCTCTGTGTGTAAGGAAGCAACAACCACTGGTGTTTCCTTTTGAAAACCTTGCTTTTCCTTTTCGGTTTGAATCAGAGGGAATAAGCAATTTCCTGCCTTCTTGCTTGCCTTCTTGCCTACCATTCTGGTGTGGTGACCTGCAGCATTGGCATAAGGAGAGCATGCCTTCTCACATGCTGTGTGTCCGCACTGTGTCCCGACTCACATATTCTCTGTGCAGTTTGGTCTTTGTTGCAAAATTCATTTCCTTATTGCAAAATTCATTTCCTTATGATTCTCAGATTTCATAAGAGGTGTGCCAGTGTCATTCCCCACAATCAATCAAACAATCAATTGCAACTTTCTAGTCCTTGTCCTTGCAGCAATAAGCCTGAGAAATGTGTATAAGGTATAGACTACCATATGGTACAGGCTACGTGGGATATATATATATATATATATATATATATATATATATATATATATATATATATGGTACAGGGTACCATATGCTTGCTAAATCAATTATATTAATGTATCAGAAGAGCAGTAGTTTTGTTTCTTCTTATTGCAAACAGAAATACAAGGTAATCTTTGTGCCTTCAAGTCACCTGTCGATCTATGGTGACCCCACGAATTTCCCAGGGTTTTCTTAGGCAAGGATTACTCAGAGGTGGTTTTGGCAGTTCCTTCTTCTGAAATAAGAGCCTTGGTGTTCCCCCTTCCTAGATATTCTTTGGTGGTGCCCTGCTATAATTCTGCAAATGTGGATGCACCCATGATTTCCCAAAGCATCACTTGCGGTCACTATCAGGCTTCTTGGAGTGACCTGCTGAGGTTCTAGAGAAGCCAGAATTGAATCTCTGACCCTCACCATATAGCTGCCCCTGCTCTGAGTTCAAGTTAAAACTTTGGGAAGCCTGACTACAGGTCCCTCACGTCTCCATTTGTGTTTCAACCCTGGCTCGCCTTCTTGCGTGGCAGGCGACCGCTTTTCCTTCCGAAGTCAAAGACTTGACCAAGAAGATCCGGACGGTCCTGATGGCCACAGCGCAGATGAAGGAGCATGAGAAGGACCCGGAGATGTTGGTTGACCTCCAGTACAGCTTGGCCAAGTCCTACGCCAGCACACCGGAGCTGAGGAAGACGTGGCTGGACAGCATGGCCAAGATCCACGTCAAGAACGGAGATTTCTCTGAGGTGATGATGGCCTTGGCTGGACCAGAGGGGAGGAGGAGGGAAACGGTACAGGTTGAGTCTCCCTTATCCGAAATGCTTGGGGCTAGAAGTCGTTTGGATTCCGGATTTTTTCCCAATTTTTTCAGATTTTGGAATATTTGCATATACCAGTGATCCAGCTGTTTTGGATTTCATCTCCCAGAATTCTTGACTTATGGTCAAGCTGGCTGGGGCTTCTGGGATCTGAAGTCCAAAAAACTTTGGAGGACCAAAGTTTGGGACTCACTGACTCCTACATAATGAGATATCTTGGAGATGGGACCTAACTCTAAACACTAAATTTATTTCTGTGTCATAGCCTGGAGGCAGTTTTATGCACAATATTTGTTAATAATGTTGTGCACGAAACAAAGTTTGTGTACACTGAACCACCAGAAAGCAAAAGTGTCACTGTCTCAGCCACCCATGAAAAAGGTTTTGGAATATTTCAGATTTGGGAATTCTGAAAAAGGGGGACTCAGCCTGTATTTGTGTCCAGCACTAAATACTCTGGCCTTGTTTTGCAGGCAGCCATGTGCTATGTCCATGTCGCGGCGCTGGTGGCGGAGTTTCTTCATAGGAAAAGTAAGTGTGTTTTATGTGCAGAAGAAGGTGTGAAATGGAGAAAACTCATGTTATGCTCCAGGGCAATTGCTATGTTGTGTGACTTTGAATTTAAGGCAAGGTGAGGTCCATGGGACAGATGCACTCCTTAGACTCCTGCATTTGCATCCCCTAAAGCACTGTTTCCCTAATTTTTGTCCTCCAAGTATTTTGGACTTCATTCCCCAGAATCATTGACCGTTGGATTCTGGAAACTGAAGTCCTGAACACCTGGAGGGGCAGACTTTAAGAACTTTGCAGACTTTAAGAACTTCCCTTACCTGATGTTATTTGGAAGTTAGAACTACAACTCCCATCAGCACAAGCCAATATGACCCATGATTAGGATTTGTGAGAGTTGTAGTCCTAAACATCAGGAGAGCTCCAGGACGGGGGAGGTTGGTTTAACGCTTTGCTTTGGTACTTCTGCTTTGTGAACATCGTTTCCGCTCTTTGTTCCTGTTTTCAGTGCGTGTGAGTGTGGGGTGGGTGGGTTTGCACATCCATATATACACATTTTAATCTTTCAAAAGAGAGAAGTGGGACTCTGATCGAGGGAAGATGACCTGGCCAAGCTTGAGATGGACTTGGAATAGAAGGAGGAACAAACCCTGCGGTTTGTGGCTTTTTGCTGCGGCCGAGCAAAATGGCATTTCCAGGGATCCTCTCCAGCCTGGGAAAGCCGACAGCTTGAACTCACGTCCTCCATAGCAGAAAAAGAGAAACGTATATAGTCTCAGCTCTGAAAATGTTGCTTTGAAGGTCAAGTCCCTTGGTTTCAATAAGGAAGTGCGTTCAGAAAACCCAAATTAGCCTGTGGTACACATAGTCCCGAGCTCAGAAAAATTGCTTTTAATGACTGCAGTTCCCAGAATTCTGCAGCCAGCATGGCCCATTGTGCTTTTGCAGATGTTAATCCAGCCCATCATTTGCAATCCTGGGTTCACAAGCAGAGGCTGCGGCTTCAGACACTGGCTTCCACAAACAATGGAACTATTTCCTTTAATGAGTTTCAGGGAGGGCAGACCAGAATTAGCCCGTAGCCTCCAACTATACCGATTTTGCAGGGACAGTCCCGATTAAACCTTTGTCATCCCACTTTTTCAGCTGCTTTTAAAATATCCCAGTTTCTCTTTCCTCCTCCCAGTTTCCCCCATTATCCTCTGTTTGCTTCAGGTGCTAAAAGTAGTTTGCTCTCAGTTAACTTAGCAGAAGGGAAAGGAGCAAAGAAGGTGAAATCTTTCCTTTCCCTGGAGGCTCAGGCAAAAGCAAACTGCTGCGACCTCTCCTAGCTTGTGTGTGTGTTTTTATCATTAGTAATTTTTGTCCTCTGGACCAAACGGATGTTGCTTAACCACTAGTGTCCTGGTTTTCATCTGCAAATGCTTCTAAGTTATGAAAGCCCATGTGCAGAGGGCTCATTGATATGGACACCTTGCAGGAGATGGGGCCACACTGGACCTTCATTGGATCCCAGAAGGCCATCCTAATGCCACCCCACAACCTGTAACTGTGTAGGGCACTTCAGACCCACATATACTTTACTTTCTAAACTTTGGACTGGCACTGTCTATGTTTTTCCTAATGTCCTCATGATTAGGAGGACTAGAGATTTGAATCCTACATTTAAAGTCTCTGTTGCATCTTGTGTGCCATGTGGGTATGTGTATGCCAGAGATGGATGCCAAAGGTAAATGCTTCTCATGCAAGGTCAACTAAAACAGATTCCTGAGATATAGAAAAGATGGAGATTTGTCATTGCCAGCTTGGATAGCATCAAATAACACAACCCCAAACAGCACCAGTGCCTGGAGCGGACAGATAAAATGCACCAATGTGGCGTAGTGGTTTGAGTGTTGGACTACAACCCTAGAGACCAGGATTCGAGTCCTGCTTGGCCATGAAACCGAATGGGTGACCTTGGGCAAGTCACACACTCTCAGCCTCAGGGGAAGGCAATGGCAAACCTCCTCTGAGCCAATCTTGCCAAGAAAACCCCATGATCGCCATAAGTCAGGAACGATTTGAAGGCACACAACATACACACAAGTTAAAGAACTTGGTTCTTCTTTAGATAAATCTTCAAGGGTACAAACACACACTCTTTCTCATTGTGCAGAATTATTTCCTGCCGGATGTTCATCTTTCAAGAAAATCACGCCCAATATTGATGAAGAGGGGGCCATGAAAGAAGATGCTGGGATGATGGATGTCCATTACAGTGAGGTAAAGGGGATGGGTTGATCCATAAATTTTGGACATGTAACTCCTTCAGAGGAAAGGTTTTGCAAAAGCTCACGAACAAAGGCAACCCCAGTCGAAATACCTCCGCGTCTGGACCAAAGAAATATGTGTTTTGCAATAAGAGCACCTTAAGGATTTGCTGGCTGTCGCCTTCTCTGCCTCCATTCAATTCCATTCCTTTTGAGGGTTGCTTATTGCAATTTCTTGGATCTGTACCAAGGCTCTTCCAAAGTGTTTTGGTTTCTTTTCTTTTTAAACTGGGGCAAGATTTGTCAAAGTTTGTCTTATGGTTTGAAGAGCACCCTTTCTCCTCTCCGGTTTTCTAAAAATAATTTTTTTAGAGTTGTAGCATTGTGGTGCAAAAGTGCCGTTTTACTGATGCACTGTAATTCTAAAGATTACTGAACAAAAACAGGTATACAATATTAAATAATATAGAAAAGTATAATATTACATAAACAAAATGACAATGCACTCCCATATAGCAATTATGGTCATATGTATCCAATACACATGTTAAGAACAACAGTGAACAATATACATGGAATTAATATTGCATATAGGGAAGTACCCAGAAGAAATATCAAATTGTAAACCATCTTGAAGAGTTCATGGATTCTTAAAAAGTCATTAATTCCCCATTATTGAAAAATTCCAAATTCCTGATTGCTGGACTTTCCATGTAGAAGATGAATAATAAATCAAAAAGTAGCAGTAGGAGAAGGAGACAGAGATATTTTTATCCCAATATGTCTTGGAATTGAAAAGAAACACAAAACCCCACTTGAGAGTGGGAATAAAATGTGGCACCTGGTGCGGAGAATTGCCACAAAATATTCCAGGAGAGCAAAAAGGTCATTTGGATATTTATTTATTTTTAAAGAGAGTACCTAGGCATTATTAATAGACCAACTTGGGGGAATAATTCAGAGACATATCTGAATCTAAAAGGGATCTTGCAGCACCTTTGAGACTAACTGTATGAAAGAAATTGTAGCATAAACTGTCATAGATTTGGGCTGCATCCGCACTGCAGAAATAATCCAGTTTGACACCGCTTTAACTGCTACGGCTCAATGCTGTGGAATTGTGGAAACTGTAGTTTTGTGAAATATTTAGCTTTCTCTATCAGAGAGCTCTGGTGCCAGGGCAAGCTACAAATCCCAGGATTCTGTGGCAGTTAAAGTGAGGTCAATCTGGATTATTTCTACCATGTGGATCCAGCCGTATCTTACTTCCTTGGATAGATGGAGTGAATTGGTGCCCAGGAAGGACCTCTATCCTCAGAGTGTATGAATAGCCATAGAAATGCAAAACCTTTGGGGTGACGAAGTGACACGTTCAGCTTTCGCTAAGGTCATTGAGGGACAAAGATAGGAGGAAAGATGTTGGCAAAGGCCAAGGTGGATGGATGACCATTGGCCTGGTGGAGGGAGTTTTGGAAAGGGGTCCATCCAGGCTGGGAACCAGAGCATCCTCATGAGAATGGGCTGTTACAATATGTATAGCGTGCCAGGAAGCCTTGACAAGGCTCTTGGATGCAACCACCTTGGTTGTTTCCAAATGAAAGAATGGTCTGACCGACTTCTCCCTTTTCTTCTGTGCTGGGAAATATCCCTTCAAAGCTCCCTCTATACCTCCTTTTCTTTTTTCCTCCTCTTCTTCAGGAGGTCCTGGTGGAGCTGCTGGAGCAATGCATCGAAGGCCTTTGGAAAGCGGAGCGTTACGAAACCATCGCAGAGATTTCCAAGTTGATCATCCCGATCTACGAAAAGCGCCGCGAGTTTGAGGTAGTGGCTCTGAAACCGACCTCATCTCCTCCCAAGGAAAGTGTAGGATCTGAATCAGTTAACAGTGGTAGATGACTGCCCATATCTGCCAGGCTTCCCAAAGGTCTGGCTTTAAAGGTCAGACTTGGTACAAGAGGAAGCAGTAACGCCTATTCTGCGTTGGTCAGTCTTTTCCTGGAATATTGTGTCCAGTTCTGGGTATCATAATTGAAGAAGGATGTGGATAAACTGGAGCATGTCCAGAGGAGGGTGACCAAAATGGTTGAAGATCTGGAAACCATGCCCTAGGAGTTGAGTCAACAGCGTGACGCAGCACCTAAAAAAGCCAATATGATCAATAGGAACGTAGTGTTTAGATCAAGGGAGGTAATAGTATCACTCCATTAGGCTTTGGTCAGACCTCACCTGGAATATTGTCTCCAGTTCTGGGCATCACAATTCAAAAAGGATGTGGCCAAGCTGGAGCGTGTCCAGAGGAGAGCCACCAAAATGGTGAAAGGTCTGGAAACTAAGCCTTATGTGGAATTTGAGTAATGTTTATCTTGGAGAACACTTGGAAGGGACATGAGTGTCTTTAAATAGTTGAAGGGATGTCATGTAGAAGATGGTACAAGTTTGTTTTGAACTGCCTGAGAAGCTGGGGTGCATCTACACTGCAGAAATAATGCAGTTTCACACCACTTTAATTGCCACGGCTCCATCCTACAGGATTTGTAGCTTTGGAAGGCACCAGTACTCTTTGGCAGAGAAAGCAAAAGACCATGTAAAACTGCACATCCCAGGATTCTGCCCACTGGGTGACCCTGGACAAGTCACATACTCTCAGCCTCAGAGGAACCCCTCTGAAGAAACTTGCCAAGAAAACCCCATGATAGGTTTGCCTTAGGGTCGCCATAAGTCGGAAATGAAGGCACGCAGCAATGACAAGGAAATCTGTATAAGTGAGCAAGTTTTGTAGTTTTGCAGAAGCCGCCCCAGATTTTAGCCTCAACTTTAAAGGGGCTTCCTTGTTCCTGCCAAACCTTGCCCTCAACTAGGTTCAGTGTATAAAGTTTGGACTATAACCCAGTAACACTCCCTGCCTTCAGAGCCAACAGCCAGTGCTATGTCTCTTTCCAGGACGATGCAAAAATATTGTCATTCCTTTTTGACTATAGTGTTGTGTGAATTATTGTTGCAAGGCTGGAAATAAATGAGAAAGAAGGGAGGACAGACAGATTGCAAGTGGTGAGAGCAAGCCCTTTAGAGGGGGCTTGGATTTTATAATAGAAGACATTCAACCTATTTTTGACATCTCTTCCATTCCTCCTTTTGTGTTTTATTTCCAGAAACTGACCCAGATGTACAGGACGCTCCATGGAGCTTACACCAAAGTCCTAGAAGTGATGCAGAACAAGAAGAGGCTGCTGGGCACCTATTTTCGGGTTGCTTTTTATGGGCAGGTCAGTGTACAGGAGTATTTTGTGGTGCTTTGAGGGTTGAATTCTGTCTTGGAGGACCCAAATCCCCCCCCCCACGGTCATCCATGGCTGGCCTTGAGCAAGTCACACTCTCTCAGCCAGAGGGGAAGGCAATGGCTGATGAAATCTTGCTGAGAAAACCCTAGGAAAAGCTGTCCCTATGTCAGAATTGACACGAAGGAACGTAACAACAGAAAAAATGAATTTCTTTGCTGGAGACAGTTTTTGAGGACTAGGAGTCCAAGAGACCTGGGTTTGATTCCCTGCTCAGCCATGGAAACCCACCCGGTGACCTTGGGCAGGTCACACTTTCTCAGCCTCAGAGGAAGGCAATGGCAAATCTGCTCTGAATAATTCTGGCTAAAAGCCCTTTTTTAATAGAGCCAGTTTGATCTAACAGAGAACCAGTGTGATGTCATGGTTTGAGTGTTGGACTACGACTGTGGAGAGTGGAGTTCGAATCCCTGCTTGGCCATGTAAACCCACTGCGTGACTTTGGGCAAGTCACACACTCTCAGCCCCAGAAAACCCCTTGATAGGTTCATCTTAGGGTTACTATAAGCCATAAATTAACCCCTGACAAAGTTGGCCGTAGGATCTGAGCCCATGTATCTGGGACAAGGGATTGTAATCCATGAAAGCTCATGCTAAGACGAATCCATGTCTGTCTTCAAGATGTTGCGATGCTCAAGGATGTTCCCCATTTGAAACTCAGATCCATTTCTAAGCCTGCATCTATACTGCAGAATTGATGCAATTTGACATCATTTTAACTGCCATGGTTCAATGCTATAAAAATTCTAGGATTTATAGTTTTGTGATATATTTAGCCTTCTCTGGCAGAGACAACACTGGTGCCACCACAAACTACAAATCCCAGGATTCCATGCCAGTTAAAGTTGCATTAAATATGCAATGTGGCAGCTGGGTAATTGTTGCATTTGTTGTGCGTTTCTCATCCACAACAGACGTTCTTTGAAGAAGAAGACGGCAAAGAGTACATCTACAAGGAACCCAAACTCACAGGCCTTTCGGAGATCTCCTTCCGGCTGCTGAAACTTTACGGGGAAAAATTTGGAGCCGAGAATGTCAAAATCATCCAGGATTCAAATAAGGTGACCATGAAAGACATATACTGCTGGTCCTCCACTCTTTCCTCTTTCTTTTCCAACAAATGTAGGAGGAGGCATTTCAGGAAAGCATGGAGATATGGTCCCAATAGCTGTTTCCCTAATCCAGAGCTTTGAAAGTTACTTTTTCTAATTTTTTAAAAAATATTACTATTTATTATTACTTGTCATAGTTCTAAAAGTAACTGACTATAGGTATACCTCATATAATAACTGGGATGTTTTTCTGAGGAACTACATCTGGAAGAGGAAGTTTGGTACCAGAGGCGGAAATAGT